GGTTTGGGTGGCGCGGGGCTTTAAGCGTGACGAGCGTGGTTTTGTGCCGGCGGTGGTGGGCGGCCGCCACATGAGAACACTTTTCATAGATGTAAATCAACACCTAGATATGGACGTAAATAAGAAATGAACGCATGGACGAGTGCGCGAAGTTCGCTGGTAGGAGCTATTTGCCACTAATTTTGGTTAGCAAGTGTGCCCGCACATCCCGCCATGCCATCAAACTGGTTACAAATGCCCGTAATTTACGAACCTCGCGAGAACTGTATGAAATACGCGTTAGAATGGTTGATAGCATATCTAAAAAAGAATTATACCTTTAATCGCTTTTTGCATACACAAAATATGGACGTACAATGACAAGCATTTCGAATCTATCTCGGAAAATGCATGCTGCAACCGCGTCATACCAAGGCATTGCTGTTCCCGGGACCCCGCACCCGCATCGATACAAACTGCGTCTCGGCTCGCCCAGCACCCTTGGCTGGCGCGCCGCACAGCCATCACAAGAAATACCCGGGGCCAACATCGGCCGATGGCATAGATATGCACCTGAAGCCGGTCCTCCGCATGATGAACTGGCCTGGCGCCATTGAGGGGCCAGGCCGGCCGACCGCCGACGGTGGCGCCCTCTTTATGCGCTTCGGCTCGGGGAGGGTGGCGGAAGCCGAGAGCGGCTGCAGAGGCGCAGTCGCGCGCAGCCTGTCGCCATGCCTGAGCCAGTGGCAGCAGCAGCAATGACAGCAGGCAGATGCTTTAGCTCACTACCGCACAGGTGACGCAAGAACAGTTTTGAGGCAGGTTTCCACGGGTTTATATGTCAATCACTCATAGTAGGAAGAAGCCGTGATCACTCCGCCTGCCTAAAGCTTTTGTTTGGTAAATTCGAGCATAGATTCAATATTGTACCCTTCTATCTGGAACCTACGCCTGCTTCTCCACAATAACGCCAAAAAACTACGTTCACTATTAAAAATACAGCGCTTTATCAGAATGTGTCTGCATGAAGCGTGGACGCCAGCTGACAAGAGTCTGACGTCCCCGCCCGCGACGGTCGCGCACTGCCAACGGCGCTTCGACAGTTTGCCGACGACGGCCTTGGCTAGGTCGGCTGCGGGGTCTCGGCCAAACGTGACTCCTTCTCCGGCTCGCAGCCCGAGGTCAAGGTCAGGCTGAACGGTGGCCGGGGAATGAAGATGGACAACTGACTCGCGCTATGTGTCGCACAGAGATGGCTTTGTGAAACTGCCCACCGTTGGCTAGGCCTCTGTTTTGTGACGAGATGCCGACACGTGTGTTTCTGCTGACGACGAGTGGTGTGACTCCCATTTGCCGGCACCTGCGGCATTTATTTCTCACGCGAATACTTTTGTACACTTTTGTGGGGATGTGCCGTGTGAGGAATGGTGGCGTGCATGCATAGATGTATTTAAAAAACGAACTGCAGGGATTATCCAAAGTGGTGGCTTACAATCGCAGGATCTTATCGGATGGCTCCCCGTGTAGCAGAGCTTAGCGAACTACGAGAGCGTTGCATAGAGATGTGGTCAAGCGAGACCGCTGTGCCGTATCTCACCCGGCCCGTCACAATCGCTCGGCAAGATTGCCTGCAACGCCCGAATAATCCGCTTGAGTAGCCGCAACCTATCTAATCCAAAGTCGGAGGCCTCGCAGCAGGCTACGCTTAACGAAACCCCTGATCACAACACCACCTTCACCGTCAAACCTGAAACGTAAAACGTTCTGTCACGTCTCTCTTAAGCATTGTGATTTAGATATATATGACGCCTTCCCAGCTCGCCAGTGGGGAGTGAAAATATATCCACCGTGGGATGTCAGAAGGTGATGGTGAATGAAGAAGTAAGGATTGTGTAAAAATAATGATGACACAGTGGAACAAGATTTAGGACTTTTGTTCTTTAGGTTCACACCTCGCGGGGCTTCTTGCTCTGCGCAAAATGCAGAGGTAGGAAATCCGTGCATCATGCAGACGACAGAGGCAAGTATCTAGTATGAAATGGCTAATGATATGGCTCCCTTTTAGGCGGTCACCAGAAATGAACTAAAATGACCAGAATGGTCACCTCCAGCAATTTGGATGAATCACAACCAAAACGAACACCTCACAACCGATCGGTTTATTGCCATCAATATGGACGTTTTAACCACCTATTTGACGAATTTGCTAACCATAATGCCTACTGAAGTAACAAAACACACGAGTAAAACGTCTAGAAAGAAAAGCTTCCACGAGACTGACTGATGTTTCACCAGACAGATAAAATACATCACCAAGATACAGCAGGAAATCACGAATTTGTGCCAGAATTTATCATATTCAGCCCACCAGCAAAAAACGACCATATTTCAAACTAAACTGGCGTCAATTTGGGAATATGATGTTTTTGGACGCAGACGCCAGTACTCACTTTGGAATTGCGTTGTGGGAGCGAGTCGCTGACTAGCATTGAGTTTCGTACATACTACACGTTCAGGAGCGCAGCCAGCTGGTGGGGAAGGGGGGGGAGGCACAGGTGACATATCCTCCCGCTAGGTCTTAAGTGGCTTTCAGGACCATCGGCTCAAAGTATTAAGGGCCCGATCGGAGGGCCCAAAGGGCTGGCCGGGGAACGACCTCGAGGCAAAGGCCTGACCCTGAAAGATCAGCCAAAGGGATTCATCGCGCCTGCGAGGGTCCCCGAACGATAAAGGCGTCTATGTACGCCTGAGACCACTAATGCTGGACAGTTGGCTCAGAGTCGGCTTGGACCCTGGGGTCCCACTTGCGGAGCAGGGACAAGGCCAGTGTCTGCAAATGTTCTTGAAAGCCTCCTGTGTTGACTGGGACTCTGATACAAAGTGGCTACCTGTATCAGGGCACAGCGTGGTTTACAGGGGGGCCTATGTCGACAAGAAGCTCCTAGTCGACAAGATGCACATGTTGCTGAAAAAGAACGGGGCGGGAACCTGAATGTCAGAGAGCCATTTGCCTTGGTCGAGTTCCTCATTACCTGACATGAACTGAAAATACGAGAAATTTCAATGAAATAGACTACGATGAGGCAATAGAAGGGTCTGGCCAGTCACGGATTCTAGGACCAAACAGAGGTCTTCAGAGGAGCTGAATTTTGTTAATTTTGGTGATTTTTACCTTGCCCATGTCCTTATCCCTACCCTTGACCTCGATCTTGCCCTTGTCAATGCTCCTCCACCCATACTCGGAGGTTTAGCTCTGCTGTCTGGTCTGTTTACTATACCATACCATATTTTAACTGATACCAATGGTGATGACTCGGACCGTCCGGTGACAAACTGGCTGTTTCGACTTGCTACTTCAGTTGATGATCAGGGTGTGCATTTTGGTGATGGAATTGGCCACCCTGGTTGTCAGATTGATGTTGTCTCGAATGATGTAACTTTCCTGTGGCGAGGGTAAGATTGAAATATTTCTTGCCGCGGCAGGCTTGGAAAATCGAGTTACAAATGAGCGATGTTTTTCTTTTGGAGGCACTCACGAGACGGGTATATGTTAACTACATCTGAAACATTTAAACACATTTGATGTACTCATTCTCAATGTAAATACTATGTGCAGCTGTCTTGCATTGCGCAGGATGCGGATAAAGAAAACCTTTGCATCCTGCAAACGGCAAAGATGAACCTTGAGTACGAAGATAATGCTAGCTCCCCAGGCCTGTATATCTGCCATAAATGTAAATAAGTCTAGAGTACTTTTACAGCGCATAAATGCATGAACTGTGTTAAAAGCTGCGCTATGCCCTGCCAAAAAGCCGCGTTATCGTAGATGATATCGCTTTGCAATAAGACATGCGTGTTTCCACGTTTCATGACAATGAAAAACTCACTCTTTTGCAGCCTATACATCGTCCACATGGTTGTGTACCTGTGGCGAGACCCGCATCGAGGTGTCAATGGGTTTGTAATAGTTCTCCCCAACCAGTGCATACTCTAAATGTGCCACGCCAAAGTCCAGCAACACATATTGCACATCAGAGAAGCATGCACTTCGCGAAGCAGGTTTCTGACCTTGGCTTAAACTTCAGCTATGCAGAACAAAAACGCTTTAGGTAGCGGGGAACTCATACGCTTAAACAGCAAACCACGGGGTTAGCGAATACATCGTTTGTGGCCTTCGCAATGTGCGGACTCCTTACGCGTATCGCACAGGGTGACAGGTAAGCATCCGAGCCGCAGACCCACAGTGCGTGCGTTTGAAGCCCTGCGTTGTATTACACACGCGAGTTAGCTCCAGCCTAATAATTGGTGCTTCATATTGCGTTGTTACAGGCTCAGGCCCAACGCATCACAACGAATAACTTAAATGATACAAGTGCTTTTTAGATCATCATCTAAGCATAAGAACTAAAGGTGACTTAGATGCCAGTTATTCCGCCCTCAGGAAGGATAATTGTCTGCTTCTGTAAGCACTAGCCTTAACAAGTATCTTCGGGGAGGGAAAGAAAGGGAGGCACCTTCCAGAGGGCAGTGCTTTCCGCCCTCACCGTCAGGCACACTATCATGAGGTTGCATCCATCGCGTGAATGTCGCACCTGACTGTCCTCGCTCGCCCTCCTTCGTCATCCACCTCGTACTCAGTCGTCCTCGATCGCAACAACCGGGATGCCATCTTCTATTCACGGCCGACTCGATTTATGATCTTGTCTATGTCATTCAAGCCACGCGCCCGCAAGGGACACGTTCGGACACAAGCCGAACTTCCCAAATTTGGACAGAAGTTTCGCCGGTCGATGAGCATCTGGAGCGGACATACTTCGGAGTATTGCAGACTCCCTGCGACAGCGACGACAGTATTGCAGACAGCGACGATCCTATTGCTGCAGTGTCCGTGTTCCGTGTTCCGTGTCACCACTGTGCCGTGGCGCTGAGACCAGCACTTGGAGCTCCCTGACCATGGGCTGTCGCCCCAGCCATGAAATGATAGTGACATCTTCGTCTGAATGCTGCAGATGTACTGCATGTAGATGGTCCAGCTATATTTGGCGCCGTATGTACAATGCCATGCCTCGTATGCACCGATCGCATTATCATGTACGTACGTTCATTAACAATTAGCTAAATACAGTCATTTTGTTGCACGACTCTGATAATGTCAGCCCACAGGTGCACCCTGAGCCATGGGTGAAAGCGGTCTGAAGATCACCTCGCGGTACCCCCGCTCCCGACACTCCTGGTCATGGCACTCACACCCAGGCTGCGGGTGTTCGTCAGATGAAGACTTAACTGACGTTAAGTGACAGCTCTGACGGTACACCATCGCAACGTAGCACGAGCCTCCGGATGGCAGCCGTTGTACTTTCACTAGCCTTTGAACGATTCTCCGCGGCTTCTCAAGACTCTCTTTTGCCCTCTCATCCGCCATCGCTAGCTAGGGGTCCTTGGCAACATATGCTTGGACACCCAGTTCGGCATATGGCTATCGATCCATTAGCCATCATTTAACGTCCAGTAATTTGTAACACAATCTCAGGACTACATCGATAACTCAAATAAATAGTGTTAAAATCGTTAGATCGCTCACTGTTGTGACGCACGCCTGAGCGGGCGGTTGGACCAGCGGCAGTTACCGCATCGTAAGGGAATGACACGACGCAGCCATGCCAGTCAGTTTGTCACTAATCTCTAGGGAGCATTCCTATACAACGACTCAACTGAACATCACACAGCTCAGCATACGTGAACGCCACGAATAAACGTAAAATCACACATCGACGGATATGATTATACACCGTGTTTCATACGGAACACGGAGCTGTGTTCATCACGGAACACTGTGTTCATCACGTGGACCCTGCGTCACTGCCACTGCTCACGCTCATTGAAAAGTTCGCTGAGTCCCGCTTGTTCCCGGTCGAGCTCAGCTGATTAATGACGCCGAGCGAGCGCGGACTGCGCATGCGCGGCATGTCGCTCAGCCGGTCGGCCTCCTCGTAGAGCCTCATGGGCGACGGAGGCGGCGGAAGCAGCGATGGCGGCGGTGGCGGGAGGTGATTAAGCGCCGTCTCAGCGATGCTCGGTTCGGGCGGCGAGAACGCCGAGTTCGGCGACGGCACGAGCGCGCGCGGCGAGCGCGGCGACTCGCCAATCACGGTCGTGCGCAGGTCGAACGCCACCTTCGGTTCGGTGTTGGCGATCCGCCTGCCACCTGCCGGTGGCCCGCGAAAGGAGAAGCTGCGCTGCGGGCCGCCAGAGGCGCGCGGGAGCGCCTCGAAGCTGTTGGCGCGCCGCACGGCCGGCGGCCGGACCTCGTTGCGGGTCATGTAGACGCTCTCCGGAGGGGGACGGATTGCGTAGCGGGCGGGAAGCAGCGGCTGTCGTGCCGCTTGGTGCACCTCGCACCCGGCCGCACGACGAATCTGCCAAACGCAACGGAGACGACGCGTCAAGCTGGAGCACAGGTTGGCAACGTCAACAGGTTGGTTCCAGGCCCCTAGCCTCGAAGTATGAGGGTGGTGGCACAAATATCGAATTGTCTCCTAGCTTCTGTGAAGTTAGACTGCATTTCCGTGCACTCGTCCAGTATCTAGTGTAAGCCCTTTGCTCAGTGTGGGAAAGGGGGGAGGATGGTCGCTGTGGTCCTCTCCTTGGCTACATCCCAGAACGATTTCTTCATAAGCCCACACCGCAGGTACAGCGATATTTTTTCAATTCGCTGCTGACACGGTATGGATCAACACCTCCTCACGCCTTGGCCGGTTGGCATGACTCCTCCCCTGACACACACCTGCTGCTGGCTCTTGTAGAGGCAGACGTAGTCGCCCTCCTCGGCGCCCGCCTGTCCGTACGGGGCTGACTCCCGCACCTCGTCCGTGGGCACTGGCTGGTAACCACCGCACCTGGGGATGACAGACGGCGGTTACACGTGCTGATAGGCATCTTAACACGCTGCGATAGTTATCAGGTGTGTTTGTAAGAGTTGGAATGGGGACACAACGTGGCAGTTTGTTTAGCGAACTGCAAAACGCTGCCATGACTAGGCTAAGTATTGCATACCTCTTTGTAAAAATACACACGATAAAATGGCGCATTCGTGCTCTGCCAGAGGCAAAGAGCAGGTTCTTCTAAACTAAACAAAGTCAAACTATAAAAATGGTGTCCTTAGCCACAAGCCCGTTGCAATAGATTCGGGATACGCACCAATCACGAGGAGACCCCTATGTGATGACACTGCTGTCTGGGCGCCTATGAGTCCGTGGCTTACCTCCTGCCGGATCCGTCACGTTCGAAGGTGACACGTGACCGCCGCTGCTGGGAGCCGCGTGGCAGCTGCACGTAACGCTCCTCCTCGTCCTCCTGCTCCTCCTGGCGGGCGGCGCGGCGCGGCGGCAGCGCCGCCTGCCGCAGTGGCGCCATCTGCACTGGCTTGGCCGGCCCGCAGCGGCGCGTGGCCACGCCCAGGATCAGGTTCTGCGCCATCGTGTCGCCGACGACGAAGGCGCCGCTGTCGGCGACGACGAGCAGCGGCGCGGCGGCGCCGGTGCGGCGGCCCAGCTCCACCCGGTGCACGAGCTGCAGGTGCGGCGCGTCCGGCACGGCCACCGTGCCGGCGACGACGCGCAGGCGGAACTGCCACCGGCTGCGCAGCGTCAGCACCAGCCACAGCACCACCCAGAGGAAATGGTGCACGATGGCGCCGATGACGGCCGCCAAGCTGGCCGGATCCAGGCTGCCGCGGTAGACGGCACTCAGGTCGTAGAGCAGCGGGCCGTCTGCCACGCCGACGGCAAGGAGCAGGCAGAGCGCCGCGCTGTGGGCGAAGTAGCCCCAAAGGCGGCAGCGCGCCTCGGCCATCTCCGGCAGCTGCCGGCGGTGCGTGGCCACGAAGGCGGCCAGCTTCTGGAAGCCGTAGAGGAAGACGGTGGTCCCGGAGAGCAGCACCAGCAGGCTCGCGATGCCGTAGAGGAGCGCTGTGAGCGGCGCGTTCAGCAGGAACGGGTCGGGCAGCCTCAGCAGCGCAGCACCACCGTACACGTGGATCTTGTACAGCACCGAGAAGCCGCAGAACGAGAGCAGCAAGTGCGCGCCGTTCAACAGCAGCTGCGCCGAGAAGGCGGCCGCCAGCACGCGCTGGCAGTCCCAGAAGACGGCCGCGTACCGCACCGACAGCACCAGCAGGGCGGCGGCCAGGTGGAGGAACTCGGGGCCGACCGGCAGCGGCGCCTGTCGGCGCAGGTAGCCGCTGACGGGGTCCAGCACGAGCGCCGGCGGCGGTGCCGTCGCCACCACCGTCACGTTCTGCGCCGGGGAGCTGAACTTGAGCGGCAGCACGCGCGTGGTGAGGTCGAGGAAGGCGTCCAGCTCGGTGCGCCACACCAGGTCTGGAAGGCGGCGGGACTGTCAGTCGGAGCTGGGTATCTCACCGTGGGGGAGGGGGGGGGAGGGGGGGGGGGCACGCGGTAATAACTGTGTTGCTAGTGGCGTGGTTGTACTTAGTTTTGAAGGCGCGTCAGGCAACATTTTGCTTGACACCCTGAATATGTTGTCCACGGCATAAATAAGAGTTTCTGGGAGTAAGTGCGAACATATTTGTTTCAGGGGTGTGCTTGTATATGCATGGGTAAATTACTGAATGTGAGCACTGCACGGCACAAACACCCAATCTTTCCACCCCGTCCCTTGGATGTCACAGTCACAACGTACATTATCATGTCTTACCCCCACTTAGCGAAAAAGATATTACATTGGGCAAAACGGGTGTGGAAATGGGGAGTACAAGAGGCAGGGCGCCGAAGAAGACGGCTCCAAACGGCATAGTATGGGGTTCGCATCCAGGCGCGTTCTTACCTTGATGCCAACAAACATTCTTTACTACTCAGGTCTATCCTGTCAAGATACCCTCTCCCCTTCGTGACGTCGCCGAAAGCACAGCGTGGACCGCACACCTGCCCTTCTCTGAGCACGTCCATGCACTTCATGGTCATCTACCTGGGATCACAAAGGCCTAACCCGACATCTCTCCTGGCTCGACTCACACGACCCGGTCAGCGCCGCGACGCCATCTCACCCGCTCACTCATCGGCTTCTCACCTGGCGGCAGGAAACCGTTGCCAATGAGCCTGGCCTCCATCACCAGCTCAGCGACGCACAGCAGCGCCGCCATCAGCACGTGCAGCAGCGGCGCCGTCGGCGGCCCGTGGCGCCACATGTTCCGCAGCGCGCCGGGCCGCGGCGATGGCAGCGCCGCGCCGCGGACGCGCGGCGAACCGAAGCGCGCGCCGTCGTTGGCGCGGTTGCCGACGCGCAGGCAGCTGGCGACGAGGAAGAACGGCGCGAGCGCGAGTGACACGGCCACGAGGCCGAGGTAGACCGCCAGCTCGGCGGGCGTGGTCTGCCACGGCAGGCGCAGGTAGGCGCGGTACGCCAGCAGCGCGCGGTACGCCAGGCCGGCATGTAGCGCGCACGTCAGCACGCCGTACCAGCAGGACCAGAGCGCGTTGGCGCGCGGCCGCCGCCAGCGCGCGGCCGGCGCCGCCGGCAGCGGCCGCTCCGGACCGGCCGCCTGCAGCCGCTTCTCGTCCTGTCGAAGACGAGGAGAGTCGGTTAGCGACGCGACGATCAGGACGGACGGCGGAGCCGCCGCTGGATTCGGTGCACGCGCGGACTGCGCGCAGACAAACTACCGGTGAAGGATTCGATGTGTCAAAGGTGGCGGCGGTCTCACCAACTCGCATTGAAACTGAGTCACTTTTGACACTTTACCGTCATGCCATGCTCGTGTCGAAAGCTTTGCTGCGCTGACACTCCCAAGCACGTTCCACCCGTGCACCAAAGCACAGAAAAAGTGGATGGCCGAACGAAGTCAGCATAGGACAAGGACAACTGCACTGTCCACAACTATCATGGTAATGACAGTGGTAGGCTTGCGGCACGTTTCCAAATGTAATGTCATCGTCTTCTCCCGAACGAAGGCACAGGTGCTAAAGACCGCCCACGCCCTCACCGTCAAAGCGCACACATCACAGGACGTGACCGTGACGTGACATGACGTGACGTGACGAAAAATTGTGGCAATCTGGTGATGACCCCAGTGACAACATGACTGTCGCTTCGTTTAAAAAATGGCACACACACACACACACACACACACACACACACACACACACACACACACACACACACACACACATTTCCAATGGAGATGTCAAGTGCGTTATCACCTCGCCAGCTCGCCACAAGCGTTCAGGCGCGTGACTACAGGTGACCTGACGCATGGTCGTGACTGACTCGTGACGTCACGTGACGGCTCGTGAGCGTGTTACGGGCGACGGCAGCTGTGCGGCACAGCGACCGGGTCTGCAGGACGGCGCCGCTGTTTGGTATTGTTCGACCGGCACAAGTGGCACGGACGACCCCACCCTCGAGCAAGGTCGGGTTGATGCCGACGAGGTTAGTCGTAGTGTGTAGTAGTTCGCGATGAGTAGATCACCGTGTGAAGTAGATCCTAGTGTACGATCTATGCAATCGTGTGTATGTGAGCAGTTCGAACGCCAACTTCCGCACAAGAATACGTTTTCAATATATATATATATATATATATATATATATATATATATATATATATATATATTCGTAGGCATGAGTGCTGCGGGAGATGGGCATTTGGCAAAGACGCAAAATATTTCGGAACCACATAAATACGGCCGCAGGCGGGTGATTCGCAAAATGCGTTTCAGGCGTGTGGCGTGACACCACTTTCCAGTGCTGACTTGTTCCTACCTGGGGAAAACAAGGGCGTAACATACGAATGAACTCAGCCGCTGCTCCGAAACGGAAACGGATGGCATCTAGCAGATAACATCAAACTGGGGGAGGGGGGGGGGGGGCGATTAGAACAACGTCGGCTCCACCGGCCTTGTTATGACGCCGCTGCGCGTCGGATGCACTCACAAAGACAAACCACTTAGCCAGGCGGCGGCAGCTGACGACTAACCAGACCAACGACAAAAACAGGGCCGCCACGGGCGCCGCTCCGCCGCAGCGGCAGGCGGAGGTCCGGCGCGCAGGCCCGTGTTTACGCCCCCCCCCCCCCCCCCCCCCGTCTCGGCAGGCACCTGGCGCGAATAATCCGCGGCACACAATCTGACGGCAGGGAGAGGGGGAGGGGAGGCAGGACCACCTGCTCGTCTGCGATCAGGGCGCGCGCCTCCCGACTGGGGCGGCATCTGCGGCAGCGGTGCCGCCGCGCGTGTTTGCGCCGTAGATGGCTCGAGGCCGGGGTCAGCCGACCGACCTCGCCGCCAGCTGATAGCGCGACAGCTGATGCCGCGTGATTGGCTGCAGCGCAACATAGAACTACCCGATTGGCTGCAGACACTAGCGATCTGTCGCGCCGCAAACCAAGCGTGAGATCGGCTCCTGCGAACAACTGAGCTCTCTGTCACCTCCAATTACGTACTGCTGGCGGCAATGTATTGCGCATGCTTTGGTCATTTATCACCGGGTACGAATGGCTTTAGACAGCAAAGCTCAACCAAGCAAAACAACACTGCGATAGTTATTCCGAAATACAAATAACGCGCACGGAATGACAGGTGACCGAGCAGTTGCCTCAGCAGAGGTGACAGACCCACCCGTCGCTTGGCCGTGTCTGTTGCAGACATTTGACCCCGCGACACAGTTCGGAATGGGGGAGGGTCATCTCCAAGTCACCGATGCCCTTTTCAGCCCACGTGCCCGGCGCGATCCGCGCCGTCCGTCGTGTCTGGGCGACACGATTCCAGATACTGCCAATCACCCGAGGTTCCAGCTGACACGCGCCGCTGCACTGAGCACCTGCCTCCGGGGAAGCTGCAGCTCGGAGTGGCAGGCCGGCCGCTCCGGCGGCTCATGCGGGCGTGACCCTCGTGCGCCGCCCGACCGGCGCCTGCAGCCGCGCCCAGCCTGCAGTTGGCGGGGCTACCCGTCAGGGGACAGCGGAGGAGCCGAACCGTCGCCCGGGATGCTCTGGCGATTGTCAGACGGCCGCAGCTGGCGGAGCGGTGGCAGGCCCTCTTTGGCCCGCCGGAGCGGCGGCAGACACTCCCCGGCCTGCCGGACCGGCGGCAGACCCCTCCCGGACCACCTGAGCGGTGGCAGACCCTCCCCTGCCCGCTGGAGCGGCGGCAGACCCTCCCCGGCCTGCCGGAGCGGCGGCAGACCCTCCCCGGCCTGTCGGAGCGGCGACAGACCTCCCCGGACCACCGGAGCGGCGGCAGACCCTCCCCCGACCACCGGAGCGGGATGGCGACCCTCCCGGACGTGCCGGGAGCGGGCGGCAGACCCTCCCTGCCCGCCGGAGCGCTGACAGATCCTCCCTGGCTTGCCGGAGCGGTGGCAGACCCTCCCTCGGTCCGCCAGACCCTTCCCCGGCCTGCCGGAGCGGCGGCAGACCCTCCCCGCTCCGCCGGAGCGGGCGGCAGACCCCTCCCCGCCTGCGGCGGAGCGGCGGCAGACCCTCCCACGCCCGCCGGAGCGGCGGCAGACCCTCCCCCGACCCCCCAGGGTGGCAGATTCTCCCCGGCCCGCCGTCTGGCTCACTTCATACGTCGTCCTCAGGTAGAAACACCGTTGCTACTTGCAATGCAGATTGCGGCTGGAGTGGCCGCGCGCTTGATATGAGACAGGCGGCCGTGCATGGGGAGGGAGGGGGGGGGGGGGGGTGGCAGCCTTTGCTAATAAAGCCATGTGGTCACTCACCGTGTCCACTGTGCATGTTAGGCTTTGGTGGGCTGCTAAAAATGTTGCCACAAGCGCAATCAGCACAAGGCTATCATGAAAATTGCACACCATTTTGCCTTGAATGATTTATGACGGGAAGAGGCTGACTCTGGGCGAACGAGAGAAACGACCGTGTTAGTGGTGCGGCTGTGGTCGATGTAACGTGTGAGTGTGGTGCACTCCTGCATTGAATTCAGCACCGCAGCATGACACAGCGCGTCTTTGTCAACACGTCAACGCGTCGCTTTTCAACAAATTTGGACATCCGCACCGCCCGTGCACTAACTGCTCATCATCGAATCCTAACTGGAAAGAAAATTGGTTAACCTCGGAGCCAGTCCCGACCCCTCTCGAAGTCAGTCACAAGGTGGTTGGCGTGTGGCTCAGTCCTTGTTTCCCGAACACGATGAACAGGTGGGACACTGCGGTCTCGGGTAGTAGACCGTTTAAACATCTTCCCCGTCGCCCCCCTGGCGGTAAAAACTCTCCGTGACACATGGCGGCCGTCGCCCGGACGCATTAGCAGCGCAGCTGACGACAAACGCGCCCCATCCGGTGTTCACCCATCTGCCCTGCTAAAACGGCCGACCCATCACCTCCCGCACCTCCCCACAAAAACACGCACCCAGCGCCCCTGGCGGCCGCGTGTGCTACTACTCACCATGATGACGGCGAGGACGGACGATCAGCGGCGCGCTTTTTATCGGGACCTGCAACAGAGACGAAACACGCGCGTCACACATCAGCACCGGCTCAGGTGGGGGGAGGGGGATGCCTCCACGGGCGAGGGGAGGGGAGGGGCGGCTCGGCTGACGCGCCCCCTCCCGGGGGAGGCGGGGACAAGCCTCAGCGTGAGGCGCCGCCGTTAATGAGCGGCGTGTGGTCGCGGCGGCGGATGCGGCGCAGACGCGACAGCTCGTTACGGCGTTGCAGCGGCGACGAGCGGCGCAGCTGGGCCCGGTCCGGCGGCGGCGCGCCACAGACGCCGCCGCTTGATTTAGAACAGACGGGGCTGACGGGCGGAAGGTGAGTGGTGCGAAGCGGCAGAGGTTTAACGAGCGCCAGCCTTGCAGCGGTGCACGCTGGGCTGTCCGCTGCCTCGGCGGCGAGGGGTGACAGCGAGGATGCACGGGACGGCCGCACAAAGGGCTCTCCGTTTCTCATGGAGCACACGACACGCCCGCTGCAAGTGACCCTTGCGACCTTGGTTATTGTGTTTCGCTTTAATTGGACCGTTGCTGTCCTGGTACACATGCACCGCGAAATGGCAACAAACGACGCAGTTACGGCTTAGCAGCCTGCCGCCAATTTGGTACAACTGTGCGGTCCTACAAGCGCTGGGTCCGTCCGCAATCGAGCGTGATATCGTACCTAAAAAGCGTATTATTTGTACCGTATGCGTTAGACGTGACTGCTTTCAAAGAGGCTCGTGGTGCAACGCACTCAGCGCTAGCAACATCATCAGAGACGTCAATGACCGCGTGTAGTCACAAGTTTCTGGAGAAAAGGCCACAGGTCTTGACACTAACCCCGTAATCCTGTCATTGTTACGCTCGACACAATCACATTTTCCTTTTCGTTTATATGCCATAAACATGTGGATCTCTCAGGGTCCAGTCAGCACAACACAAAGGGAGTGGCAGGTTCAGTGCGATGTCAAACAAGAGCAGAGGTACGAGGCTTGGGCTTCTTCCGAAAAGGCAGGTTTGAAGTCTAAGAACGAGCTCACTTGCCCAGGAGAGAAATTATCAC